AAGGGAAGTGCTGACAATAACTCCCCAGTTATTGTCACTGGGGAGACAATAACCCAACGGACCAGTTGCAGGAACCAAAATATGCTACGAACTCCGCTGGGAGACACTTAAAAGAAGTGGAGGATCTATCGGTTTTGTGAGGAAAGAAAAGATGAGAGGTAAGTGTGTTAGCCTAACTAACAGCCTAAAAATCCATCATCATGATTAAACACACCCACCATGTTTTGGGTTCCTGCAACTGGTCCGTCAGGTTATTGCCACCCCAGAAACACTTCCCTTGTGCTTTTGGAAATCTGTTTTTTTCCTATTTCCGTTGTCGTTTTTCCAATTTCTGTTTTGTTTTTTTCCCCATTTCCGTTGTGTTTTGTGTGCTTTTGCAGCATTTTTCTTATTGCTGGTGTTTTCTTAATTTGCAGTCCGTTTGGCCTCAAAGGGGCCACCATAAGATTAGCTAAAAACTCGATGTATGTCGGCATGGTGCCGAGTAGGTCCTTAAAAAAAAACTGAAAAAGGAGTGTCAGACCTAAAGAAAAACAATCTACAGCAGGTGGACATCATCTTAAAGTTATATCTCTAGGAAATGCGGAAACAAACATTTTAAAGGAAGGGAAACAAGTAAGCCAAATTACTCAGAAACTGGACACTAGAAAATCAGTGGCTAAAGGTCCACATTTGAAGATTGTAGTTCACATAGGTGCCAATATGTATGGAGGAACTCAGAAGAGATACAACAGTGTCCTACAGCCATCTGTAAGACACAGTGGTTCTGATTGGAACCACTTTTTGGCATGAGAATGATCCAAACTCACTGCCAATGCAGTGTACCTGGATAGAAAACACACAGTGGAACACTATCAGTCATGGACTGGCCTCCCCAGAGCCCAGACCTCAACATAATTGAAGCTACGTGAACGAAACAAAAGGCAGAAACATCCAAAGAAGAGCTTTGAATGTCCTTCAAGAAGCCCGGAGAACTAAGCTCATTAGAACTGAACATCATTTTCACTTTGTATACTTTATTTCCATGCGTGTTATTTTCCTAGCGAGAGTTTTCCACAGTACTGT